GCCCGGCCAGGCCTCTCCCAGGAGAGAAAGAGTGAGAGAGAAAGAGAGAAGATGGGGGTGGTGTAGAAAAGAGGGGTGAGGAACAAAGCTGTTGTCTTTTTTTTCTTTTCTTTTTTTTTACATGCGTGAATGCATGAGTTTGCTTCCATTTTTTTTTTGACAGACTCTGGCTTGGATCGCCTGTGGGACAGAATCATCACCATCTCCTCTTCCTCTCCTCTTCCTCTCCTCTCCTCTCCTCTCCTCTCCTCTCCTCCCCCATCCTGCCCAGCTGAGGCTACACCTGAGCCCAGCCACTGAGGCCCCGACCCCAGCTGACCCGCCACGAAGAGGAAGGAAGCGGAGGATGGAAGAGGGAAAAGGTGAAAGTGAAAGGAACAAGAAATCACGTAGAAGCTGCAGGTAAAATACTCTTCTGGTGTTTTATAGTGAGATTTTTTCGCTGACTTGGATTTTGAAAATGATTATAAATTTCTCTGTGGAGCGACTGCTTACCTTGACTCATATGAACAAAATTCACATGCAGTTGACTTGATCAAATGCCACAATCAACACACACACACACACTGATGGACACATACAAAGCAGCTTGTTAAGTCCTCCAGATCTTTGCCCCCGGCGTTTTTGTTTTGTGTTTTCAGAATTAATTGAGCCAACGCTCAAGTGTGAGGCCAGATGTCACTGCGACCTGTGGGGATTATTAGAAATCTGTTTCCCTCATTGTTTATGTGGATCTCCTCAAACCACAATGCCTTGCGCTCTTCCCGCTGAAGTTTCAGTGAGAGAAAGACGCCCCGAACCAGATTGCTAATGTACGAAATTACACCGATGGACACCGAGTGCAAATATCGACATGTGGGACATTCTGGGACTTTTCTGTCCCACCTCCAATGACCGTGGCCTGTGCCCAATGGCCACCAGGGGCCCCTCGATGGCCTCCCGGTTTGGCCCAAACAGCGCCACGCTCCTTGGCAGAGCTCTGGGCCTAATGAACTCATCAGCCAGCTGGAGGCCATGGATGCAGGGACAGGGGCCACTTGGGGGAGGTGTGGGGACCAAAGGGAGCGAGAGAGACAGGGGGCAGCGGGCCAGGGGGCTAGGTATGGGAAGATGGAGGTGTGGGGCAGCTGAAGGTAGCTCACCAACAAAGTAAATGAGGCAGGTGCAGCTTCAGAGGGGCTGTGGAGGCCAAGGAGGGGGTCAGGAGGAAGAGGTGAGGGAGTCCGTGGAAACATAGGTCTGTGCTGAACAGGGTGGGAGAGACGAGGACTGGATTCATCTGGAAGAAGAATCTCAAACCCTAACCCTAATATATATATATATAAATAAATACATATACACATATCATATAATCAAATAAGACTCTGACACTCTCATATTTTTTCTTCTTATTTGTCCCAAAGAATAAACACTGTTGTGGTTTTGTGTGAGGTCACAGCTGGGTTGTGTGCTTTAACTAATGTTGCCTCCTCCTGCTCTCTGAAGTCATCACACTTCAGTCAGCATCATCGATGAGACGCTGTCATCCTGCTCGCTGCACAGTCAACGAACGCATCATCATTCCTACCATCTCACAGTGTGTTTCTTCCTGCTCCCAGTGAGTGTGTGTCTGTGTGTGTGTGTGTGTGTGTGTGTGTGTGAGTGTGAGAGAGGGAAAGAGAGCACCTTTGTGTGTCCATATGTGTCTGGGTGGCGGAGAACGCGCTGGGCGTCCTGCTGGGAGCACAGATGGTGCCGAGGCCTGCCACAGCACCGCTGATGATGGCCACATTCTCACATGGGACCCCCAGCTTTCTGGATCCCACACCTCCTGTTCAGGCCTGAACCAACACACACACACTCACACACTCACACACTCACACACACACACACTCACACAAGGCCAGGGTCCGGGCCACTGCCTCTTTCGTTACCCTGGAAGAAAAGACAGAACACAACACATGGACAAGTTGGCGTTCACACACCCGTCCCAGAGTGTTTCCCTGTGCGTGAGTCACGGTGATGATGTAAATGTGAGAAGAACCCACTTACATCACTGTCATCAGATTTGCTTTTCCCGGGACTAGATGATCAGTTGCCACAACTTCCTCTGACTCCTTTTTGTGCCTGTGCAAACTGCACCTCCCCACTCTTCGTCTTCATTTTTGCTCCCTCTCATTTGTCTCCTCTGTGTCCGCCCTTCTCCGTCCTCTCTCTCAGGTCCCTGGTTTCCTCTCTCCCCTCTCCGTCTCTCACAGACGCCCCCTGTGGCTCGACGTCCACCTGAGAGACGCCTCATACATCTCCTGACAAAGTGACTAATCCTTCCCATTTCGCAGCTCCATCCCACTGCTCCCTGGGAATGTTGTGTGTCCGTGTGTCTGCGGTGTGTGATAGGTGACAGGTGGGAATATGTCACATGAGTTCAAGGTGTTCTTTTGTTGCAACAAGCGGCTCAGACTGCTGCCGGGTCTCCTGAGTGCAGGATGATTAGAGAAATAACTTCATTACAGACGTTGCAACACTTCCTGACATCTTCTACTGATGAAAATTTAGATTTTCATCTCTTTAAAGATCTCGACTTTTTTCTTAGGCCTGGAATTTAAGTTGTATCCTTGTATTCGATAAATCAGGCTTCAAATATTCATCTTATTACCTGTGGAAAGCTGCAATATTAGGTCTCAGCTGGATTGGTGATATAAGCACTGGAAAGAATAATCAGAACCATAAATCAGTGATCTGTGTGTCTGCTGGTTCTGAATGATTACATGCAGACTCATCCCAGACTATACTCACGTTCTTTAAAGCTGTTTATCACCTGACATTAGCAGCAGCTTTGGCCGTGCCTGTGTGTGTGCGTGAGTTCATCTCAGCCTCGGACTGATCACCTGAAACTTTTCTCTGTTGTTTCCCTCCGGTCTCTGTGTCTTGGCGCGTCAGTATGTTTGTGAAGCAGATGCATTACACATAAGACAAATGAATGGCAGCTTTAGTGTTGTATGACCATCTCAACCAACCCAGCGAAGACTGTTACCAGCACGGTCCTGACTGAACCAAGCGTGTGGGGGTCTGGTGGTCACACCGCCCTGCTGCTTGCCTCCCTGTCTCCAGAGTCAGTACATCAGCTGTGGGATGTAATTGCAGCAGGCACAAACAAAACAGCCTTGGAGGGGTCCTTCATGTCTTTGGCCAAGGGCCTTACAGGATGAGGAGGGGTCTGGGCAACACAGACCTTCGAGCATAGACCATCTCCACCTCTCCGTCTGCGGAGCAATTAGTTGTGGTGGCGCGCTCGTGTGTGTGTGTGTGTGTGTGTCAGGAAGCCTCTGTCTCCTGGTCCTGACATGTCTCTGATACACCCCGCTGTGAGTCTCTCTGTGTCACACACACTGCACGGACCCGGTCGGAGCCCTGGGCGAGCTGTCCGTCATCTCACACACATGCACATTCCCTCTCTGTCTCCCTCACACACACACACACATGCTCAGTTTTTATGATTATGGTCCTTCTGGCACTGTTGTAGTACTTCTCTCTCTCTTGCGCTGCTAGTGTGTGTGTGTGTGTGTGTGTGTGTGTGTGTGTGTGTGTGGTGGCAATAAGCACAGTGGTGGCTGTAGGCCACAGCAAGTCATCCGTGCTTCCCCTTATCGTTTTAATCACCTCGTTAGGCACAGCTAGTCTCCACACTTACTGGCCACTGTCCCTCTTCTGGAACCATGCCCTCCTGACCCGATGCTGGTGGTGCCACCAGGCACACAGATGCATGATGGGAGGGGGGGAAGAGAGAGGAGAACTTCAGATCATTCATCATGTTTTTGTTTTGGAGACGCAGGTTTATGTCGGAGTGCCAAATGTACTTATAGGGAACATCACCAGCCCATTAGTCTATGTCATCACACTACTTGAAATATTTTAGATTTGATCTTTGTTGGATTTTGGAGCCAGAAGATCTTCTCCTGTGCACATGTGGCAACAGGCAGCAGACGTTGGATTGTATATATGAAATAAATCAGATAAACAGTACGTTAGACATCTCTTCACTGTTTTACACTCTTATTCTTTTCTCTCCACCTGTTTGAATTAAAATATTGTAAATAAAATCAAGTCTGGTTTAAAAGAATTTGATCTGGATCTTTGCTGTTTTGACTCAAACGTCTTGTGGAATAAGTACAGAGCACTTTTTCACTTTTAGTTTTTGAAACCAAAAGGAAAGTTGTATCTATTGTTACCGATGTTTTGAGCCCAAATGAACTCGGCATCAGCCACCGTCAACTTCACAAAATCATGACAGTTGTGAAATTTTAAAAAGCTCCTGTGCTACTTTTATTCTTTTTTCCCATAAACAGGATTTACTCCATTTTTTTTTTCTTGCAAATTAAGCAAATGGAAGTGGAAACATATACGAGCCTCACTCAAGATGATTCAAACCAAAATTCATTAAATATTTCAAAAAACAAGGAATCAAATATACAAATAAAAATGATGTTGTGCACGTCATATTTACAGTGAGATTAGATAGAAGGTTTTTATTTATTTATTTCCAAAAGATGCGAAACAAGTCTGTGTAGATTTTTGTGTATTTATCTCCCTCACCTCTCTCTCCGGTGATTTTGAATCGAAACCCTTTGGCAGATAAATGACTTGTGACTTTATGGGCCTTCCATCAGATCTCCCTTCACCTCCACTCTGAAAAACACCTGTTAGTCGCATTTTTAAATCGCTGCTATTCACAAGAAGAAACGTATTTATTTGTCTATTATTTATTTGTTCCCTCCCTCATCGTGCACACACATCTCTGCTTTTGCTTTGCCCACTACACTCCCATGGGAGAGGGAGCGCTTGAGGGCTGAGGGGTGTGAGGAGAGAGAGGGAGGTGTGTGTGTGTGTGTGAGAGAGAGAGAGAGAGAGAGAGAGAGAGAGAGAGAGGGAGGATGAGGGAGGGAGGGGGCGGCGTTAGACAATACCATTCCTCCAACATATTCCGATCCCTCCGTCCCCGAAGTGAGCCTTTATTAGTCGGGATCGTTTGGATCTTATCTTATCTATGTGACACTCGCTGGAAGAAAAGGCTGGAGGGGCCACACAGAGAAGGGGATTAACCGAGAGCTGCCCCCCGATCCGCCGCGTCCTGACACGGGAGAGCCCCGCGCACACCTCGCCCCCTTTATCTTCCATCTTTCCAGGGGCGCACGGACGAGTAGCCCTGGCTCCACTTGCGCCACTATCTGCCCATCTTTTGTCTCCGCATCGCTGGGATCGCACGGGAGGCTGAGCGGTCCTCGCAGCATCAGCACCAGCAGCAGCATCCCTCCCGTTCCTCTCTTTGCGTTCTAATCGGCTGATCTCCATCTTCAATGCAAAACATTTCCCTGCTTGACGTTTGACCCCCCCCCCCCACCCCCCGAGTCAATCCCATGTTGCAAGCTCCCGGCTGAAAAAGTAAAACTACCACTTTCTTCCTGTTCTTTTCTTTTCTTTCGTTTCTTCCTCTGATGAGTGTTTGTCCGCTGGAATATGAGTTAATCTGGAGGCTCCGCTCAAGAGCGTCTCTAAGTTCGTTTCAAGACAAATCTACATCTCAACTCTTTGTCCAGGTGAGTGAGAAAAAACACTTTGAAGACAGAAATCCTCTCCGTGTACTCACTCGTTCGTTTTGTATAGTTGTTCTTATTGTTTTACTTGTTGCCTTTGATTTTAAATCTCATTGTGTGCTCTCCCTCTGGTGTTTCTCTGCAACGGCTGTTTCAAAAGATGCTAGATTCATAAATTGGTTATTAATATTATTATTATTTAGCTTTCGTTTCAGTTTTTTTTTTATATCCCATCACCCCATGTCCAGCAGACGTCAACATTATTTGTGCAGTCCTCTGCCTCCATGCTGTCAAGTCACTGTGGCCTCAGCCAAGCAGATGTGTTCATCACACTGTGACAGATGGCCAATTCTGATTATGTTAATTCACAAAAAAACAAGAAGAAGAGGAAGAAGAAGAAGAGGGGGTTCTCCTTCAAAAATGGCCTCAACTTGTATTTTTTGAATTTGGAAAAAGAAATTCAATTCAAAAAGATAATTTGACATTAAACTTAAATGTGACACTTTTAATTGTGTTCTCGTCCTTGTCTGGAGGCCTCGGGCTTTAATAAATTAACAATTCCTCGAATTTGAAGCCATTCATTATTTATGGAGTTGAATGTTATTATGCAATGATTGGATTTATGGGGGGTCCTGGCACCCACACAAGCAGCCGCGGAGGGAGCTCTCAAACTGGGCCCTCGGGGTGCAGGACGCTTCTGTGGATTTTTTTAAGGATTTTTCCAAAGTCTAATAAAATCAATGCGGTTGTTTTGCTTCACGCAGGTTCTTCAGGAGAAGTGACACCAACACCGGAGAATAAAAATGATGCTGAGCCCGGACCAGGCCGAGTCGGACCTCTCCTGGACTCAGTCCGACCCGGAGACCATGCTCAACGGCCTCAGGTCGGCCGGCTGCGCCTCGGACGACCCGACGGAGGGCGAGGACCGAGCCAAGTGCAAATCCGATCAGCCGCTGAGCCGGGAGGAGAAGCGGCGGCGGCGGAGGGCCACGGCCAAGTACCGCTCGGCCCACGCCACCCGGGAGAGGATCCGGGTGGAGGCGTTCAACGTGGCCTTCGCGGAGCTGAGGAAGCTGCTGCCCACCTTACCCCCCGACAAGAAACTGTCCAAGATCGAGATCCTCAGACTGGCTATCTGTTACATCTCCTATCTCAACCACGTGTTGGACGTGTGAGAGCCACCCCGGACTCACCCCCTGCACCCCGGGGTGACAGCAGGGTTGGCTGGTGCTGGACTCCAGAGGCGCACGCTGGGCATCAGCTGATGGGTATGGCATTGTTGGCAGTAGACTCCTGAAGGATAGAAGCACATGTCCGGTGTTTTTATGGCTTTCACTTTGTTCCATTTGAAAATTCATCCATGCAGAATTTATTTTTTGGGGGGGGGTGGATGTGCAGAAAATGCATTTCAGACTTTTTTCAATCTCGAACCTTCAAACTAGAACAAAAATCCCGATTGGCTCAATATCTGTGACTCGTCGCATCTCAGAGAGTTTTAGGACAACACCGTGAAATAGTTGAAATTAAAAAATTGTCCTGAATAATCCCGGACACTGGGACTCTGCCATACCTCAGCTGTACATGTGTGAGTCCAGTGTTGTTTCTGTTGTGTGTTTTATTGATGGCAGCGTTGGTGCAAAGTTGCTCCAAGTTAAAAAAAAAAAAAAAGCCTCAACTTTCAGCCCCCGACCGCTCACTGAACAAAACAAAAGCAACAAGCGCACAGTCGTTTGTTTTAGATGCAATAATGACGAGAGGGATGGAGGATGAGGAGACGGAATATGAGGAAGGGTCGTCAGGAATATCAAGGATCTGGTTTTCACAGAAACTTTCCTTTCCCACATTGAGTCGCCCCCTTTTTTTAAAATAATTTCAATCCTGCATTTAAAGTCAGAAATGTATATAAAAAAAGAAGTGAGTCCTCTCCTCAATTTTTAATTTCCAATGCTGATAAAACACGAAATGAAAGGATGTAAACGACATAGCTGCTTTAGATCTAGTTTAGTTATTTTCCATCAAGGAATAAAAAAAAAGATTCACTGCGTAAGTGCCACTTATGACATATAAAATTGTGACCTTAATCATTTTTTAAAAAGTGTATG